TCCTGTTTGATCGTGGTGTATGATTTTTTGGATGAATTGTTGAAGGCGATTGGCCAAAATTTTGTTGAGAAGTTTTGCATCAATATTCATCAAAGAAATGGGTCTATAGTTCTCTTTCTTTGATGAGTCCCTGCCGTCCATGAGACTCTTATCTCCAATTAGTCATCAATAAGCTAGAAGTAGATCTATGGCTCAAGTGGTTGAGTGCTAGCCTTGAGCACAAAAGCTCAAGGACAGGGCCCAGGCCCAGAGTTCAAGCCCCAGGACTGGAAAAAAGAAGGGAGTGGGGGAAGGAGAGAGAGGGAGGGAGGGAAATCAGGTCTTTTCCTTTAACTTTTTATCTCAACATAATTTTAGTCTTACAGAAAGCTATAAGGACTCTTCACCCAGAAAGTCCAAATGTTTACATTTGCTACACTGTTTTTCTTTCCCTTTCTCTCTCATTCAGTCTCTAACCATGAGTCCTTTTCATTCTGAATCATTTTAGATAGTGATAGAAATGATACCACTTTACTCCTAAAATGTTTTCATTATGCATTTCCTAAATTGAGGGCAAAGGGATTTTGACATGCCTACTTAAAACTTAACTCAATTTGAAGTTACAAAATATGTTTATCTTCTGTAAAATACCTAGCTTAATAGGGTGCCAGTGGTTCACACCTACTAAGGAGGCTGAGAATGGGAGGATCACTCTATGTTCAATTCCATTCTTAGCTTGAAACTCCTTCTCAACTAAGAAATGGGTAAAGTGGTGTGCATCTGTCATGCCAAACTACATGGGTGGTGGAGACTGGGAGGATGGTAATGCCAGACAAGGTAGAGAAGACCATACGATTCTGTTTCAATGGAAGGGAAGCTAGACACATCTGTCTACCCATAATCCCAGCAGTAATAGGTTAATAATAATAGCAGGAGTTTCACAACTCAGGCACACCTAGGTTAATAATGAGACCTTCTAAAATGATCAATGATACAGGGCTGCAAGCATGGTTCAGTGATTTCGTACCAGCCTAGCAAGTATAAAGCTCTGAGTTCAAAACCCCAGTACTGCCCCCTACCCTGGCCAAAAAAAGTGTTTTTAAAATCATAAAGTAAGCCAAATGCTGATCGCTCATGCCTGTCATCCTACTCAGGAGGCTGAGATCTGAGGATCACAGTTTGTAGCTAGCTTGAGCTAGAAAGTCCATGAGACTCTTATCTCTAATTAGCTACACAACACACACACACAAACACACACACACACACACACACACACACACACAAACCTAGAGGCAGAGCTGTGCCTCAAGTGGTACAATACTAATCTTGAGCAAAAAAATCTCATGGACAGCACCCAGACCCTGAATTCAAACCCCAGGACTAGCACATAGAGGGAACAAAGGGAAAAAAAACTATACATACACACACACACAAACACACACACAGATGATATATATGTACAAAACGAAGCTGAAAGGCTAGTGGTCTTGGAGTAACTGTTTGAGATGAGGCACAAGACAACTTTTTAGGGGCTGAAATGCTATATATATATCTTGATCTATGTGGTGATTTTACAAGTATATACATATATGAAAATCCATTATGTTGTATAATTTAGATTTTCACTTGTTTTCATTTGTGAGTGAGATATATATTTATATATCTTTTCTTAAAACTGTCTTTAAAAAACAAATTTCAGATGAGTTTACTGAATGTTATTTGTTCATCTCCTCCTGAGTTTTTAAAAATGAATGCTAACAAATTTTCAATTTTCATTTAGGTGAGTACCATGAGATAACCATGGTAAAACAGTAAAATTAAAATTAGGAAAAATATTCAAAACATTTATCAATATTACCTCCAAATATGATAGGCCAAGAGAGGCATATTGAGACCCAGCGTAAGCCACTCTGCTGCGCAAAGAAACATGACACAGAAGAAAGCATGGATGAGGTACTCTGGAAGTACAAGCTGGAAGAAAAATACAAATATGTTATTGAAAAGTCTTAGCAGGAAAATCAACTGCTAACCTGGAAGTTACTGTATGTAAAAACTACTATTTTCTTAGAGATGAAAGATACTACAATGCTTTACTTTCATAGTTAGCTTTTTACCAATAACAGTATTACAAGCACAATGAATAGAAAGGCTATAGCTTGCACTAAAAAAATAGAGATGACTTAAAATTTAAAACTCAAAATTTTAAAACAATAATTTAAATTATACCATCAAGATTGTTCAGTCCATTGCAAATCAGTTGGAATACTTTTTATTTACACCATCCAACAATGACAACAATAACAATGACATACTTTATCACATGCAACATGGTAAAAGAAAAAACAAAAACTCCTGTTCAGAAGTTTATATATTCATGTCTTTAAGCCTTTAACAAAAACCAGGAATACTACATAGATACAGTATTTAGCAAATCACATCACATTGTCACAATAGTAACTTTTCAATGGAAAGCCAACCAGCCAATAATCTCAGCACAATTGAGGGAAGAACACTTGAATACACAAATGCAAATGATGTGCTTTCTGCAATGTAGGAGGGAAAAGACTTGAGTTCTTAATCATGAAGTAAGAATTTCCCAGGTTCCTGAGTTTTCATTCTCACATTGTCTTTCCATTCTTTTACACCTGCTTGTTAATGAAATGCCACAAACAAAAGACCAGCAGAACTTCAAAACCATAAAAGAAAATACACTTTTTGATAATAAGTACTAGGCAATAAGGAAAACTTAAGCAAAACGTATTTTACAAAATGAAGATAAAGGCTGGGAAGGTGGCTCAGTGGTACAGAGCTTGCCTTGCATGCATGAGGCCCTGGGTTCGATTCCCCAGCACCACATAAACAAAAAAAAAAGAAAAAAAGCCGGAAGTGGCGCTGTGGCTCAAGTGGTAGAGCACTAGCCTTGAGCTGAAGAGCTGAGGGACAGTGCCCAGGCCCAGAGTTCAGACCCCACAACCGGACCCAAAAACAAAAAAAAAACACAAAATGAAGATAAATTAGGTACATTGTTTTTACATCATCTTCCTCCTAAAGATTTTAGACTATTTCATTAATAGTTCATTTCATTAATAGACTATTTCATTAAATAAAAACATCAAGCAGGGCACTAGTGGCTCACATCTGTAACCCTAGCTAATCAGGAAGCTAAGATCTGAGGATCAAGGTTCAAAGCCAACCTGGACAAGAAAGTCTATGAGACTCATCTTCAATTAACAACCAGGAAACTGGAAATGGCGCTGTGGCTCAAGTGGCAGGATGCTAGTCTTGAGCAAAAAGACCTCAGGGACAGTCCCTGAGCTCAAGCCCCATAACTGACAAAAATAAAAAAACATCAAAATCTTTCATTATAAGTTCTAGCCCCAAACCCTCCATCAGAGCTGCAAATGCAGTTTTTCAAATGGCTTTATAACAAGTTAAAAATCGATGTTATCAGATCTTTCCTGAGGGATCCATAGCTGTGGAAGTAATGTAATTATGCTCCATATTGAAGCACAATTTTCTAAGACTTCTGAATTATCTTTTCCAATTGAAAGCTATGGAGTGATAGCTGGAAACAGAATCCAGAACAGACAAAGCAAGCACTCTACTACTACACCACACCTCTAGCCCAAGACTCAACTTTTTAATGACTATTATTTTCAAATTACATCCTAATAACCAACCAGTAATTAATGCTACAAATCAGATATTTTCTACAAATAAAACGAATAATAAAGATAGAATTCTGAATTAGGAATGTAAATTAAATAAATGTTTAAGCCAGAGTCTATTTAAGATCAAAGTTCTCTCAACAGGAAAATGTCCATAGGACATCTCTGAAACTCAATGTTTACCACAAGAACACACCAAGAAAAACATACATTAGTAGTTCAACTAGAATTGCTTTTGTATTCAGGTGCCAGTGTCTCATGCCTGTAATCCAAGTTACTCAGGAGGCTGAGATCTAGATATCCTGGTGTGAATCTAATCCAAGCAGGAAAGTCCATGACACCCATCTTCAATTAACCACCAAAAGCCAGAAGTGGAGCTGTGGCTCAAGTGAGATAGCCAGCCTTGAGCAATAAAGCTAAGATACAACACCTAGGCCCTGTGTTAAAGTCTCAGTCCAGGCACCAAAAACAAATAAATAAATTGCTTTTGCAATATTAGTTTAAATTAGAAAATATTTCTAAGTCAGGTGCCCGTGGCTCACATCTGTAATCCTAGCTACTCAGGAGACTGAGATCTGAGGATCATAGTTTTCAAAGCCAGCCCAAGCCCAGGCAGGAAAGTCTATGAGAAAACCGGAAGTGGCATTGTGGCTCAAGCAGTAGAGTGCTCGCCTTGAGCTGAAGAGTACAAGGACAGCGCTCAAGCCCAGAGTTCAAGCCTCATGATTGGCCAAAAAACATATTTCTTTAAAATCCACAGGCTTATTTCAGCCCTCTACAAATTATCTTGCAAGATTTCATCCTACACTTACAGAACTGAGATGTGGAGAGATGATTCTGAAATTAGCATGACCCCCAAAACTCTTACCCAATATTCTTTAATAGGAGTGTTCATATAAAGGTAGGCTTGAATTCTCCCAGTTCTAATATAAACAAATTTCACTCACACTCCCTCCCTTTTCCTCAAAAAATCAGTTCAGAAATACTCATGTTTCTCGCAGTCAGTCCTTTTCAATCACTCTTCATTGATGAAATTTCACCGTAAGTACCCCCAAAAAAACCCAACAAACCAAAGTTCACATACAAACTAGTATCCAGAAAAAAAAATACCTCATGCAAATATGGCAGGAATGATAGTACTTACACATGCAAAATAAGATTCTTGTTATAGTTCACATTTTAAAAAATATTTGTCTTCCCCCATACTTTGGCAGAACTGTCGAAACAAATTTCTATAGGGAAAACTGTCAGATGCACTGCTGTTCAGCCAATTCTAGGCACCCTAGCCAAGATGCAACCTGTACTACCATAAAAACCCTCCTTCCAATCTACTGTAGCCTCTAGATGTCCCAAGCACATGTCTTTCCGTGGTGACAGTATCTTTCCTTTAAGAAAGGCCAAAAATCACTACATTAAAATAAAATTAGTCTCTTAGATGTTACCACAAATTAGTAAAACATAGGAGCTTAAGCTTCAAATATCAGGCTGTCTAGTTTAAAACGCTGGTCCCTAACTTTGGACAAAGTGTTTCAGCCTCAAAAAGCAACTCAGTTAACTGCTGTATTTGAGAGAATAACAATATACATAGTGAAGGAAAAGATCCAGGGAAAATGCTTTATAGGCCAGAGCCTGGCACCAGGAAAGTGCTCGTCTAACTTCAGTATTACTCTCATCAGCATTTGGTTACTTGAAGTAATGAAAAGTCAAAGGGCACAGAATACTATTAATAAACATGAGGAGAAATTTCATCTTCTTGATATCTTGGTAAAAGCGTCAATTACTGAAGATTTTTTTTACAGTTATAAGTTTTACACTCATAACTTTCTATCCAGAAGGCAGGTCTATCTTCTCATGTTTTGTTTTCTAAGAGCAGGGAAACAGCTAGCAAATTAAAACTTTTAACTGTATTTATATTGTCTTATTTTAACAAGTCTCCAAGCACAAACTAGAATCTATTACATCATTCTTCACATCTAAGGAAACAATGATCAAGTAGCAAACTGACTTTTAGGTGCTTCACAAAGTAACATTCACTAGCATGTGAGTGCATTAGTTAGACACAACTCACTACACAAATTCTCTCTTTGTTTTAAAGATTATGGTCTTCTAGTGCTTGAATGCATACTCACTGCTCCCTTATAAACTGCTATATACAAATTAACTGCATTATTGTAAGCACTATTTGACAGCCCAAGAACAGATCTATCTTCCTGAAAGATTTTGATAAACATCAGCTGAAAGACTGAACTAATTTCTTCCAGAACACACATAACCACAGATAATACTAGGTATAGCAGTGAGTTTATACTACGGATTCTATTTGCAAACTACCTCAAGATTCTATTTGCAACCAGCCCCAAAAGTGATCTTACTATTTATTAAAATCATAAGTATTCACCAAATAACTTTATAGGAATGTGCCTATGGCTATAACATTTGAAAATGCATAAGCATTTAACAGCTTTCCCTACTTGACTGAGTCAGCAAGCAAACAATTGCAAAAAATATGAAGTTTTATGAAATCATAAACCTCACCAGGCATGAGCGAGCAAACTGAACAGAACAGTACAAATACAAATGCCCTAACCCTCCCCATGAAATGAACAAAGCATTAAAACATTAAACTAAAATGCAGTACACACCTTTAGTGCAATTTTGACTCTTTTAATCTTTTTGACCTTTTCAACTGTCTTTGGCCGACAATGTAAAAAGCAGATTGGAAGAATGTTAGTATGACAGCTGACAAGATCACCAGTAGATTAATAATAGTCAGAATAGTCAAGCATGACAGGAAAAACATTTCTTTTTATTCTGCCTACTTCAAAACATAGATATATCATGCTACTGAGAATAGTGGCCATTTCTAATTAAAAGCAAACATGTTAAAAATCTAAAGGTAAATCCTATATTGTAACTTACAGGATTCAGGGTATTACACTGGTCTATAGGATTCTTGTAATCAGTCTTCAGTTCATCAAATGCTATAATCTAAAATAAAAGTAACATAGTTAGTACCATTCACCTTAATTAAAAGCAGCAACAAAATTGCCCCAGTATCAAACTGAATAAAGTAAAAGTGTTCCAGCATTACAGGTACCAATTTACAGGCAACTCAATATGCTAAAAACAGAAAAAGCAGCCGAAATTAGGTTTAAAGAACATACTTTCATTACAAAAATGATCTGATACCACAGTGGTAAATTTTTCATTATCAGTGTCTTCAATGCCACTGTTGACTTTACTTACCCTACTTGAAATGAGCTTTCGCTCACCTACACATTGATCCAACATTCTGCTTAGCCTAAAACCCCTCTTCCTATGCTGACTCCTATTTTTCTCACTCCTATGGGCACAAACAGGACTGCATCATTGTCTACATCTTCACACTTATAACACTGCCAACATTGCATTTCCACACTGTTATGTACAGGTTTGTCTATCCCATTGGACTGTGTGGGTCTCAGGGAAAAGGACCACTATGAATGATCTCCATATGCCCCAACACACAGGACATACAGTAAACTCAGTTTATTCCCATCTGTGACCCACATACTTTCTAAGGATTTTTTTTTAACTAAGTATGTCTTTGTCCATGCTCTAGAAGAATATGGTTTTGGTATTAAAGGACTTCATAACCCTACACAGAACTTCCATATGAAAATGCAGTAAGTCAAAAAGGACTGCACATCACTCTGTTGCATTAACAGCAGGTTTATAGGAGAGCTATTTAAAATGCTGCCACTGGTCAGCCAGGGATGCAGAACCTAACAGGCCTTTCCCCTGGTGGATTAAGACATATCTTTAAATGTAACATACTTAATTTTATCAATGATCAGTAGAGTCTAATATTTCTAGCTTTAGTATTTCCCTGTTAAAGTTTTTGTTTCATAAAAAGATAGGTTTTAAATTTGGGGTGTTTATAAAATTCATCAAACAAATATATAACAAAAATTTAACCAAACAGAAATGAAAGCATCTGAACATTAAAATGTCTTCAGAGGGCTGGGAAGTTGGCTCAGTGGCAGAGCGCTTGCCTTGCATGC